ACAGGAAATTCTATATTGAAAACGGAACTAAAAAACCAATTTAATCATTGTTATATAAGGAACGTAACTGTTTCATATTGTAGTTTATAATATTTAAAAAGACGTTTTCGGCCTTTTGAATTGTTTTTCCTGTCTAAATTCAACTGGATATTAGGCATAAGATAACAAAAAAAAAAAAAATTAACCACGTCTGTAAAAGGGACTTGTTGCAGAACTGCAACAGATGAGAGATATACCTTAACTGAAACCGTGCCAGTTGACAGATAATGCCAGCATCCATAAATGCAATAAAAGCTTTTGTGCGGGTGCCTCACCGGCATCAGGTGATTTTGACTTGACTAACACGGTGAGAGTGGATATAAATAATTTCTGTCGAAGTCAAAATGTGCACCGTATATAGAGTGACAAAATAAACGGAGGCTTAATTTTAAGCACCATTTTGTAATTTTACTGGGCACCCAGGAGAAAATACCCAATGGCTAACAAAACCCTACTAGACGATGATCAGAAAATAGATAATGTTTATCCTCTGCGTCTAACTACTTTTTATTTGATAGATCCATGTTCATGTGCAGCTCACTCTCTCTCTTCCGCTTACCCCGCCCTCTCTCTCTCCCCCTTTCTCCCTCCCTCTCCCCAACCTCTTTTTTCTCTCATTTTCTCTCAATGCGAAACCTAACCGTAGCAAACCAAAGATCTCCCAGAAAATTCGAGTATTGCTTCGACGTGTTCGGCAGTTTATTCAGGTGCTCAGTCCTCCTTACTTTCTGTCGGATGAAATAAGGCAAATGTCACAACCGAAGTTACTTTTGTTTTTTCGCCACCAATAACTCAGCATGCATTTAGAATATACATAAATTAATGAATGCAAATGCGTTTAACAGAGAATGTCTTCACTAAAGCAATGTGCAATTCATTCACGATCTCTTCACTAAAGCAATGTGCAATGCACCCAGGGTGTCTTCACTAAAGCAATGACCAATTCATTCAGGACGTCTTAATAAAAGCCAATTCACGCAGTG